TTTTTGTACGTGTGTTAGTGCAAAGTCGGTGTGACATTGAAAAATTCGCAGTGTTGACGAATAATGGGTAAATACTTTTATACGTTGCAGCAAGTAATTACATTAATTACTTTTATTAGAACATTTTCTTTCATAGGCCATTTCCATTTACAATAAATAATGTATGCCAGTTCGTATGTGCCTTTCCTGGATACGATCCTGAAAAGGGCCCAGGCACTTTTAGCCGTTGATACACTGTTGGCGCGAATAAAAACATGGCGGAAAATTGAGAACGCCCAGATCAAAGGCGCCGACAGAGAGTGCAACTACTGGTTATACTGTGCCTACAGTACGCACGTACGTGGTAGCTACGGTACTGATACGTTTAGTACGACATACGCTCACCATACTAGTTCCGTGGAAGTACATTGTTATCTGGGTAGCGAGTATACAGGGTGAATCTTAGCTGCTGTTCCAGCTTTTTACCATGAGAGATGGATTACCGACTGTAACTTTAGTTCACTGAACGGCACGAGAGGGCAGCTGCTTAGATCTCAGGGCTGTTGCAGGCAAGTTGAAAAATTGTTCCACTCACAGACATCACGCGGAGAAAAATAATTTGCTAGCACAATATACCATATGTAAATTTAAGTAAATTTTGTCTGTTATTTTATAATAAAGTTATTTTCTCTTTTATGGTCAACTCTGTGTTAAGAACACCAATTTTATTAAAAAATAATTGTGCGAAATATTTAGCTAAAGAAATAAAAGAATTTCTGTTCAGTCAAACGTTCTGCTGTAATGGTGAATAATTTTAATAATGTATAATAAGGAAATTTTCGTATCGCCATCACATTCTTATCAAATACATATGCAGTATTCAAGTAGCAGCAACAATTTCGCTGCAACAGCAAAATTATTTTTTCCGTGCGTATAATAGAAAGTATATAATTATAAAATAATGTGTGGTGTTAAAATAATAAACAAAAAGTAAACATAAAAATAAAAAATGTATTCTTACACGGAAAAGAAAGATTAGCTACCATATACTAACAGCTAACATTTTTGCGTAATAAAGTAATAGCTCTCGCTGCAAAAATGTTCCCTGCCGGAAATAATTCTACAAAATTCTACAAGAAAATTAAATATAACTGCCAGAATCTACGAAATTCTACGTAAATTTAAAAATGTTATGAAAATCAACATGAAAATGCTAGAATTGGAACACTTTTGTTAATTTTTGTAATATTCTACAAGTAAGCAGATGTTTTAATTCTTTAAGATTTTGTTGTTTCACAAATTTTTTAAACCGGTAAAGTTTTGTACTAATTTTTACAAAATTGTATATTTTTATGAAATATTACTCACAATAATTTCTTGATTTTAGAACATTGTAATTTGTGGTACTATTTTGTAGATATTTTTACAAAAAAATTAATGTTTCAACGAAGATATAAAAATTTCTACAAATTTCTATTTCAACTCAATTTTTTGTAGTTATTTATAGAAATTTTTCCGCTAGGGTTATTTGAGTGTATTTGATATTCTACACATTCTATAATAAGGAAAATCTAAGGTAAACATTCTACATCAACATAATGTACTTATAAACATTTTTTCTTAATAAATATATTTATCCCGTGTACATATATCTTTACATATACAATACAATTAAGAATCATTGATTGCATGATCGCAATTACATTAATTAAATTTTGTAAAGATCAGATTTCTATAAGTTTTTATATCTTAATATTGAATTTTTTTTAAACTTTACTTTCTTCTCTTCTTTACTTTTTAAATCTCTTATTCTTATAAAAGTTTGATTACTTAACCTAATTCTATAAATTCTATAATAGATATAAGAATTTTAGAATGCTGTAAATATTTAGATTGTTAATATTTGTGACTTTAGATATATAAATGTTATAATTTGCACATGCAAAAGTAAGATAATTAAAAGTAGAATTTAATCTTAAATTAATAAAATAAATATGCATTAAATTACATACATATAAGATATCCATAATATATATATGATTAAAAAAGTTGATATATTTGGTATTTCTATCATTCTTGAGTCATTTAAGAAAGGATAAAAAAAATCATAAGGTAATGTGATATCTAAATTAGGTCCGCCAGCAAAATGATATTTAGATGGTTTTGAAACATCGTGAAAATTAACGTAGGAAATAATATTAACGTCAAGGATATCTGTACAATTTTTTAATGTACACTTTGACCAGCTAATATCTTCTTCCTTGTTAAATGTAACCCCTGCACCTAATATTTTATAATTTGTCAAAGTTTTGGGCTTTGGCATCATAGAATAAAGGATATTCAAATGCATAGAGGTAACTAATCCTGAACATAAAATTCGTTTTCCGATTGTATGTGCAGTTACGATATTTTGTGGTATCCTATCAAACAAAATATGCAACCAATCAACAGTATTTTTGCTGGAAAAATTACCCAGTTTTGAGATGTAATGTTGACTTAAATTTAAGAAAGAATCTTTTATCAAAAAATGCATAGTTAGATTTTGTAGTTCCTCACAAGATACTGCAGTGAAATTCTTGATAAATAATTTGGCAGAGCATGTTAATCTGATATCTTCACCGAATATAATTATATGTCTATTAGTTCGGTCACATTCTCCATTCTTTTCAGCCAAGGGCAATGTAAGAAATGCATCAGTTCTGTTGAAAAAAATATCATCGCTTTTATTAGCATAAGAAACTCCAATAATGATCGGCTTACCCATCATGTAGCCGGCATTTCCACTACGAATAAAAACTTTTGTGTTATTTAAATCTATCCAGTTGTATTTGACCTCAAAATATTGATAAAACGCATAAGAAGCATTTCCTATATTAAAATATGCATCAATAGTGTTGATACCGGCAGAACCATTGTGATGAATCACGTATTTCAAACCCTTTACAATATTGGTACAAGTAAGATTCATGCAAAATCCTGGTATGCTGGTTCTAATACATGCAGAAAATGACTTCAGACAGTAATGAGTTCTTACTGGTAAACAAATGTTACTTTGACACATCTGAAAAATAATTTTTAGAATTAAACTAAATAATAAATGTAAACAAGTAGAAAAACTGTTTGCATAAAAACAGTAAAAGCAAGAAAAAGTATAAAAGAAAAATGAAGTACAAGAAGTTTAATTAAGCAGTATTTCTCATTGAATCTATAAAACATATTTTATAGCATTACGGTACTGGAAAATAAACCATACACCTTTCAATAAATTAAATTTGTTAGTGTAAAAGCTCCTCTAATAGAGATGCTTTATATTGGTATATTTGGCATTGGTAATTTGACTCAAATTGAAAATATTAAATATTATGATGGCTGAAGGATACATCAATATATTGTGCAAGAATTTGGATAAATCTCTTCTGAAATTGAGTTTTAGAAAACAACTTTATCTTTCAGCAAAATAATGACCTAAAGCATTAAACAAAGAAAACTACTGCATTTTTTAAATTCGTAAAAATATAAAAACTGCTTGAATGGCGACCACAACTATCAGATTTAAATCCTATTGAAAATTTATGGGCTCATAGTGTTGGAACGTGGATAAAACGAATATAACTGATAAGACATACTATGCAGCACTCCAGAAAATCTGGAAGAAAATTGATCCTGAATATTAGAAGAAATTTGTCGAAAGCATTATATCAGGTCTATCCGGAAAATATCCGACCTTGTGCTCTAACCTTGTACTTGGGTGTGCTATTGTTAAAAATAGCTATTCATCATTTAGAGGAGACCTTTATGAGTGCCCCTGCCAGGCAGCACGGTTCTTCAAGTCTTCAGTCGACAACAGTACACTGTTTAGTAAATATCAAATTTTTTGCGCGTTACATTTCACGATAACTGAACGCATCGAACAAAGAGTGTGCATTAAATTTTGCCAAAAACTTGGCCACTCGTATTCAAAAACTATCCATATGATTCGTGAAGTATATGGCGATAAATTCATGAGTGATACACAGATTAAAGGATGGTTTAAACGTATAAATAGATAATATATAATAAATAAGGCTCCTATACATATAAAAAAATTTTAATTGACGAATGTGATGGTAAATAACGTTTAGGTAATGTGAGCCGTCACTGTTGGGGTTGGCGTAATATCAATACGATATACAGAAAATTTTTTACACCAACCCCAACGGTGACGACTCATATTGCCTAAACGATATTTACCATCATATTCGTCAATTTAAATGGTTTAAACAAAAAGTGTTTGTGCAGAGTCAGAGCAACATCAAGGCTATGCTCAGTGTTTTTTTGGACTAGAAAGGAGTTATTCACCACAAATACACTCCAAAAGGTCAGACGGGGAATAAAGAATATTACAAAGAAGTTTTGAAACGATTGCATGACACAGTGAGAAGGAAACAGCCAGATTTATGGAAAAGTGGTGACTGGGTGCTGGACCACGACAACGCACCTACCTACGTATCACAACTTATCCAGCAATTTCTTGGGAAACACGGAATTGTTGAGCTTTGTCAGCCCCCATACAGTTCTTACCTGGCTCCCTGTGACTTCTGGCTGTTCCCCAAATTGAAAAATCTTCTTAAGGAAAGAAGATTCGATGATGTGGAAGAAATAAAACGGGACGCGACAAAGCGGCTGTTAGCTATTCCGAAAGCTGAATACTATACAAGGAGTGTTTCCGAAAGTGGGAGAATCGTTGAAAGAAGGTTGTAGCTTCCAAAAAGAAGTACTTTGAAGGGGACATTGTCGTTATTGATCAGATTTAGCTCTTTCTCCTGTTGTAGCACAAGGTCGGATACTTTCCAGATAGACCTCGCATGTGTTTCGTCAACTGAATGCAGTATTAAAAGCTGAAGCATTCATACCAAGGACTAAACACTATTATAATTAACTCTTTATTTGTTTGATAACTATTACTTATAAAAGTATATGATTTATTTTGTCCAGAACTAAATGTAACAATTTATTTATATTAAATAAAATTATTTTATAAAGAATTGAGCATAATTTTTATATTATTTCATATTTTCTTAATTTAAATACTTTGAAGTACTTTCATTTCTCTGTCTCAAATAATCTATTTGCTTGTTAAAAAAATAGTTATGCTATAACAAGTTCAATTTATTGAAAGGTGTATGACTTATTTTGTCCAGCACTGTATATCATAATAATAATAACTTCACAATAATAATAAAATATATCAATTTTATATGGGGTGCTGAAGGACACAGGGAGATACCGAATCATATTTTAATCAAAATTTTTTGTCAACTATATGAATTTTTTTAACCAGTACATATTGAAGAGTAAACAATATTCTATTAAAGGAAAGAATTACCTATTAAAAAATATGTATAAGGAAATTTTAAAAAGCAAAAGAAGAAAATGTCAACATTGTTTTATTGTATTCCATGTAAGGATCACATTGAGACAGGTACTGATAAATCTAAATTTTTAACACAACAGGTATTTTTATGTCTAAAGAAACAAAAATATATTTGTGCTCAATATAATTACACAATGACAAATTTAATTTTAAAAAACCTTAAATTAAATTAAAAACAAAATGCAAAGCAGTAGAACATTATTATAACATTATATTATGCATATAATGTCGTATCATTATAAATATCTCGGAAGAATATAACAAAAGTTAATTTTAACTTAGGCACGATGAGACATCTCATGATACTCCCACTGATAATATCTCACTATTCTTCTCATTGTTCATAAACTTTCAGATATAATAAAGAATAACTAACATTTTCAATTAATCTATAAACTTCTAAGTTATACTCGTATATGTAGTAATATACAGAAAACCGTACATATAATGTTAATATCAATACTATTCATAACCTAACAGTAAAAAAATAATAACAATTGAAATAGCAACATATTACTTTATCTATCAGTAAAGAAGAAACATTTTATTAAACTTAGGTGTGATACAAACCAATGGCATCAACAACACACTAACACACCTATACAGGGTGAGTCATAACATTTGTACCAGAGCTCGTGAGAAGGTAGAACGGATCGAGATGAACAGAAAAGTCCTGAACCATTTGCAATTTTCGCAATAGTTAACGAGTAATAAATTATCCAAAATCGTCGTCTTTGCCCTGCCCACTGTCCAATTCGAGCGCGTGGCGCGATGTGACCGCCCGGCGATCGATATTGCTAGGCCAGGAGGGGTGGGGGGGGGGGG